TAAAAATGACTGGGTAATAGAAGAAATAAAAACTGAACTAAAAAATTCCTTGAATTAAATGAGAATGAAAACACAACACACTAAAATCTTTGTGACACAGCAAAAGCAGTGATCAGAGGACAAATTATAGCAATAAATCACCCACAAAAAAGAAAAGCCAAAATCAAAGCCTTAACCCAGCATTTCTAACAAAGAAAGAGCAACAACAACAAAAAAAAGTCTACAGTCACAAGAAGAAAAGAAATAATAAAGATTCAAGCAGAAATAAATGAAACAGAAAATAAAAAGACAATAGAAAAAAATTCAACAAGATTAGAAGTTGGTTCTTTGAAAACGTTAATAAAATTGACAAACCACTAGAAAACTTAACAAAGAAAAAGAGGGGGAGAATACAGATAATATGAATAAGAAACAAATTGGGTGACGTCACAACAGAAGCAATAGAAATTAAAAGGATAATATCAGGATACCATGAAGAACTATTCTCCAACAAATTTGAAAATGTATAAGAAATGAACATTTTTCTAGAAACATACTACTGACCTAAACTAACACAGATTGAAGTGGAAAATTTGAACAGATCCATAACAAAAGAGTTGAATAGGTCATAAAAAACTTATCAACAAAAAGATCCTTAGCCCAGATGGTTTCACTGAAGAATTCTACCAAATGTTCAGAGACGAACTGACACCAATCCTATTGAACTATTCCAGAACACAGAAAAGGATGAAATCCTCTCAAATTCATTTTATGAAGCAAGCATAACCTTGATACTAAAACCGAGCAAAGACATTATTAAAAAGGAAAACTACAGACTAATATCCTTCATGAATATAGATGCAAAATTCTTCAACAAAATCCTTGCTAATAGACTCCAACATTGTATCAAAAAAATAATATGACCAAGTGGGGTTCATACCAGGTATGCAAAGATGGTTCAATATTAGAAAACTATTATCATCATCACATAAATAAAACAAAGGAAAAGATCACACGATCATATCAATTGATACAGTAAAGGCATCTGATAAAATCCAACACTATTTCTGATCAAAACTCTCAGAAAAATAGGAATAGAAGGGACATTCCTCAAAATAATAAAGTGGAAAGATGCAAAACCAACAGCCAACATTATTGTCAAGGGAGAGAGACTGAAACCATTTCCCTTGCAAACAGGAACCAGACAAGGATGCCCTCTATCACCACTTCCATTCAACATTGTATTGGAAGTCCTAGCCAGGGCAGTAAGGCAAAGAAAGGGAGATCAAAGGCATCCAAATTGGTAAGGAAAAAGTAAAACTATGCCTATTTGCTGATGATATGATCCTATACAAAGAAAACCCAAGAAATTCAGCAAAAAAAACCCTACTAGAACTAATTGAGAGATTTAGCATAGTGGCGGGATACAAGATCAACATACAAAAATCAGTTGGATTCCTCTATACCAGCAAAGAGATTGCTGAAAAGGAAAAAGGAAATCAATACCATTTACAATAGCTACCAAAAAAAAAAAAGTACTTGGGAATAAACTTCACTAGGGACACAAAAGACCTGTACAAAGAAAACTACAAAACACTACTTTAAGAAATCATAAGAGATCTACATAAATGCAAGAACATACCATGCTCGTGGACAGGAAGATTGAACATGGTGAAAATGTCAGTATTACCCAAAGCAATCTATACATTCAATGCGATCCTAATCCAGATCCCATCAACATTTTTCAAGGATATGGAAAAACCAATCACTAACTTTATATGGAAAGGGAAGAGACCTTAGATAAACAAAAAACTCTTGAAGATGAACAAAGCAGGAGGTCTCACACTGCTAGATCTCAAAACCTACTATACAGCCACAATAGTCAAAACTGCCTGGTGTTGGTACAATGACAGACACACAGACCAGCGCAATAGAATTGAGAACCCGGAAGAAGATTCATCCACCTGTGGTGAGCTGATTTTTGACAAAGGGAAGAAATCCATTAACTGCAGAACAGATGGTCTCTTTAACAAATGGTGCTGGAAGAACTGAATATCCATTTGCAGAAAAATGAAACAAGATCTGTACCTCACAATGTACACAAAAACTAACTCCAGATGGATCAAAAACATAAATGTAAAACCTAAAACTATAAAGTTTCTCAAGGAAATAATAGGACCAAATTTAAGGGCCTTAATTTATGGCATAAAAAGACTATCAAGCATAACCCAAAATGCACAAACAGTAGAAGATAAACTAGATGAATGGGACTGTCTAAAAATTAAATTTCTATGTGCTTCCAAAGACTTCTCCAAAAGAGTAAGAAGAGAACCTACAGATTGGGAAAAAATATTTGGCAATGACATATCTGACAAGGGACTTCTCTCTAAAATTTATAGAAAACTCCCATACCTCAACACTAAAAAGACAAACAATCCAATTGAAAAATGGGCAGAAGATAT